TGAAGTTGTAAAGTTTGTTTTCAACATAGTGTCTTGTACATCTTGTTGTTACAATGGGTCATTCTGTATCTTTATTTCAGCATTTTGTTATTTCCCTCCCCCTACCCAAATTAAGAAAATGGATATACAAGATACAGGGCACTGGAGTCAAACAGAGTGAAAACAGAGGTTATACCATACATACAAAAGAACATACAAAAGAAACAAAAAAATCACATGGTACATTAAAAACAATTAGCAAGAAAGATAAAACCTCTTGTGTCCCTATCTTGGGGTTCATTTTGCTTAGGATCAGCTTATATGGTTTGTATGGCTTTATTTCAAAGCATAATGCTTTGGTCTAGTCTTTGTATGTAGGTTATATCTTCATGTTATTTGCATTATGTTCTCTTTTTCAAGTACAGTATAACTTCAAGTTCCATTTTGTTCATTTGATAAGAAAAGTATATTCTGTGTAGACATTGGCTTCTTAGAATGCCTCTCTGTTCCAAGGTGAGATCACAAGTGTATTAATGGCCTACTTTTCCCATACCAAGAAAATTGATTTCCCCTTTGTTTCTAAGGAAAATCATTCTGAGGGTACTCACCGCTTTGTGATGAATGGCACTATAAAAACACTTGGAGACTTCAGAAGGAAGAATACTGATTTAAAAAGTATTTACTCCATACAGTCTTATTTTATTCCCTTAATAATATATTCAGTTGAAAAGGCAGTTCCCCTCACTGCTCTTTAAACTAAATCTATATAAATATTTCTCTGTATAGTCCAATGCTCACGAAGCTACAGCACACAGCACTGTATTGTGGTTTTAGCTGTCCATTCACCCTACTATATATAAGTCCTGTATTTTTGGACTTGCCAAGTCTACTCAAACACTTATTTTCTAATTTATATCATTTGCTCAAAATAATTTATTTCCTGATTTATATTATTTGTTACTCCCCAGTCTCATAGAACTTGCCTTTCAATTCCTGGGACTTGAAGAGACAATTGGGTGGGATGTGCTTGGCCTTAAGTCTAAGGGCTCTTTTCAGTTGGTTTCAGTATGAAGGACCACTGAAATATCTAACAGAATTACTAGCTTGTGTTAACAGGCACTGCCAAACTACGTGCATTATTACATTCCTAGAACATTCTATTAATTATGGAAATCACTTTCATTTCAATAGTGGAATTTACATGACAACAGCTTCTGATGCTCAGTGGAGCATCACACGAGTATGTCACAGAATTCCCTTGTAGTGTGGCATTGACAGGGCTCAATTGACAACGAATTTGCAATGAAAATGCCTCAGAAATGTGCATCCACGTAGATTATTACTTAGAAGTGATTATCTCAACATCCACATAGGTCAAGAATATAAAAAAAGGCAAATTTCCTCATTCTTAGATTATTAAAATAAATTACTATGAATATGTAGCAATACACATAAATGTAAAAGACTTAAGATCTCTCTTAAATACTTAGCAAAAATGTTTGCATATAGAACTGTTGCCCTGTGTTCTCTCTTAAAACTATATAATGCTTTTTATATTTTACAAGTCTTGCACAAGGGTTGGAAGAACACTTTAAAATCAGACAAGTAAATGGAATAGGAGCTATGATTAGGAGCTAGTAAAGAGGTAAAATAGAATTAGGAAAAAATTAGGCTAAGTATCACAACAAAGTTCTTAAAAGGGAGAACCATTAGACTGGGAAATAGCCTTTCAAAGGTTCTAGAAAAAGATATCACATGAGCCAGTTAAAATTAGACTGGGATGAGCTACTCCAAAATACGGTAATGCTATAGGGACAAACCTGACATTAAAAGCGGAATGAGGAGGTGACTTAATGGTTTCTACCAACTTAGTGATTAGTATGATTGGACTCATTTTATGTGTTCAGTCCTGGAAGATAATCTATCATTTTATGCTATATTTTAGGAGCAATTTCAACAAATTCATGTAATACAGAATTGGAGGCATTTAGCAGAGTCTCAGAAGATGTGAGAAAGTACAATGAAATGAGTGTAAGGTAATAACACAACAACTATGACTTAAAAAAACTACTCCTTTATGGGAGTAACTCCTGTAGAAAGCAAGTCTCATCCTGCAACTCCGACCAAAGTACATAAATATATCTTTCCCTTTGGTCTTTCAATACAAATTAGGTATCAATGTTTATTTATTTATTTATTTAATGGTTTCTTGAATGTTGAGCAGGGAAAACAAACAGTATTTTATCCCCAAGCAAACACTGAATTTTGGTATCTAAGAGCAAGAACTCTACCAAAAGATCACCTTTCATTCTGTGACTGATCGTTAGAGGAATGAACAAGAAACAGAAGATAGTTCAATTTGATTGTTGAAAAAGGAAGATTGACTTGAAAAAAGAGAAAAATGTTCCCAGGGAATATGGGAGATATTATTACTGTGGATGTACCAAAATAAGCCTGCTCTTAATTTTATGTGATCTCATTGATACCTTGAAGCAGAGATGTGAGACAGGTGAACTTTTGATAATTATCTGATTTTTATCCACTACAGATATTAATTTCAATTTAAATAAAAATAAGTATTATTTAATTTTAAGCTATATTTGCACTTGCTCATCTTACTGATTTTTAATTTCAGTAACAAGGTCAGAGATGCATTTGTCATGTTTGGTCATTTTGAGATAAATCAAGTAATCTACACTTCTTTTCAAATTAGCATGCAACTTTAAAAGTTTTCCATATATAAGTGAGTCATAGGGCATATTTTTATTATTGATATGATATTGCTATGATATTATTGGTATGATTTTTATTATTGATATGATTTTATTATTGATATAATGTGTTTGTGTGGCTTTCCACTTATTTTCTTGACTAAATGATGACATAACCCTGAAGTGTAAAACCTACCATTCAATTTAAATAGAAAAAAAAATTTTCCTTTGTTTTGTCTGTGGCCAAACTATTTGTGATTTAAGATTTATAGTTCATTGATGAGAGTCTAACTCATAACCAGAAGTTTTATACCATTTTTTGGGAGGGTCCAGTCAATCTAAGATCTTACTATGCTCTTTTAGGTCTAATAAATACAGACACTCAAAACATTTTATTGTTTCATTTGTAAAGTACACTAAAAGACTTCCTCCCCTCATCTTGCATGCTGAGTACCTATGCTACATGAATCAGGAGAGCCTGGGACATGTCTATTCAAAACGTACATGCCTCTGCTGGGCAGTCAGAGTACCCAACAGTGGACGGTGAAGACCTGCACACATGGGAAATCTTTGTAAATGTAAAATACTGCTATTATAAAGGGCAAACACCTTTTTATTAAAACATAGTGTATAATAACCCCCAAATCTTCAAATTTTATTAGCCATGTTTTCATATGATCAAAATGCTTTATGTGCATGTCTGAAAAATGGAACAATGAAGCTTGTTGGAACTGGTTTGGGAAGAGGGGTAGGGAAGATGAGGGAGAGTGATGGAGGTCGGAGAGCCTGATCAAGGTACAGTATATATGAATATGGACCCATAAGAATGAAAACTCCTTGTAAAAGTAATTAGTATTAATAAAAAATGTGAAAAAAAACCTACTAGCCTCCTTTAGAAAGAAGACACACAGCAATAGAGTCAAAACTAATTATTAAAGAGCCCTAAATATCTTTGTTAGGAACTATTACCATTGCATTTATTGCAGTGACAAAGTAGAAGTTTTTTTTTGTAATGCTATATTAAATGTACCTATGCACACAATAGAATTCGGGTTGCATCCTTAAAAGGCAATCAGATACACCAAAACAGGCTTAGAGTTAGGCATATGAATAGATGCTCTCTCCAAATAGATGCTATTTCCCCCTCCTCAAAGAAACAATATCACTCGAGGAATTGCTAACACACATAAAACACACACACACATTTATGAAAAGAAACTATAGCTGAAATGCTCAACATACACTAACCTGCACCCATAATCATTCCAAATTGCCACACACCAACTTGCAATTATGGGGAGTACACATATATATTCCAAACACATCTGTTACTACTGGAACAAGAATAGAAAGCAAATTAGTTGAGTGCTTGAACACAGGTCTTTAGAAGCATGCGGTTTTATTTAAAATTTTACAACGGTCTAAGATATTTTAAAAGGGGGGAAACCCTTAAAACATCTATCTTAAAGTATTGGACTTTAGACTCTTAACTGATTGTTACCACAAGGGAAAACTAGAAGGACACCTACATGAAATCCTTAAGAAATGAGCTTATTGGATATATTACTCAGTCTATTTTTGGATTGCGAATCTCCCGCCCTCTCTGAAGTTATCTCACTGTCAGATAAGAAAATGGAACAGGATCGATGAAGAGATAAGCTCTCAGTCTTTGATTTCTTTCTTTCTTTCTTAAGCCAAAAGGAGCAAAGGGCAGTGAGTTAGGGCTCCTTTCCAAGCATGCTTGAGAGAGGACGAATCCTCTTGCTGCCCCTGGCTGCAGAGTTTACCCGGGCAGCCGTGCCCACCTCCCCTCACAACCTCCACACCCACATGAAGCTGCTGCCGTGCCAGCCAGTCATCGCACGTTTTCTGGTGCACAAAGCCTTTCAAGCCCCCAGATCACGACTCCTGAGCTAGAGCAGAGCTGGAGGTGGCTGGCTTGGGAAAACTGGTCTCTTTGGGGGTTTGCAAGGTATTAGTTAGTCCCTCTGTGTCTCACTTCTTGGCTGCAGATCTGTGCCTCCAGATCTATCTCCTCCGGGAGATACAGGCGTGCGCGCGCATACACACACACACACACACACACACACACACACACACACACACACACACACACACACACACACACACAGTGTCAATGCCCATTTGCCTCTGCTCAACACCCTTCCCGTCTCTGGGCAGATTGTGAGGACCGATCCCTGCTCCTCCGTCTCAACTTTCCCCTGCTCCACCTGCCCCACGCGGTACCCCAGATCCAGCGCCCTAGCTGGGCGCCCTCCAGAGGGGCACGTCCCCCTCTGGGCTCCTTACCTGGCACTGACAACTCCCGACAGGGACTGGAGCTGACCGAGGTGGCAGAGGCAGCGGTGAGCCTGCAACCCGGGCTCTGGCTCATGGTTGGTCCTCTTCATCCGACACAAAAGAGGTAGCCGGGCTGCCTTTGTCCTTTTCCAAATCCAAGGGAGAACTTATTTTGCCCCCGAAATGGCCAAGTTGTGCGCGAAGCTTCCTGTCACGGTGCCCCCCCGCCCCCGCCCCCTCCCGGCTGCGCGCTGGACCACTGCCCGGTGGCACAGCATCCAGACCTCCGAGTCGAGGGGGAGTGGGAAGAGGAAGGAGTGGAGGAGAAGAGAAGGAGGAGGTTGGGGAAAAGGGGGACCCAGTGGTCTTTTGCAAAAAGGGGGAGGGGAGCACTTCAGAGCCCAATCCCCCTCCTCCTCCTCCTCTTTACGGGCAAACCCACTTCCTAGGCGCGCAAGCCAACTTTCCTTCACCTTGGCCAGGCTGAAACCTTCGCATCTAATCGGGACTCTCCCAGCAGAGGCACGGACCTTGTGGCATCTTCTCCTTTTCTTTCTGTTTGCCACCCTCTCTGTTGCTCCCTTCCCTCCTCCCCTCCTCCTTCTTCTCTCCTTTTATAGGGGTGTGTATCTGCAGAGTCTTTAGTGAGCCAGGGTACCTAGATGAGAGGATTATTGTGCCTAGAGCCCGGGGAGGTTTGCCTGCTTTGCTTCACTGTTGGAAATCTTTAAGTAGCGCAGGCGAAATAAAGGCCGGTGAATTTGGGAAGAGTGGGATGAAGGGGCGTGGGGCGACGGCGAGGAGAGGGCGGTGGCTGCAACTTCGAAGCGTGGCCAGAGCTACCGGCTTGCGCGCTAGCGGGGGCCAACCATCCTCTCCCAGGAAGAACTCTCCTGTGGTCCCAGGGCAAGGGGCCCGACTGCTTGCCCAGTGCCAGAGGAAATAGGGAAGAAGGGAACAGAGTAGGAGCAAGTGAACTAGCGAGGCCGGTGAGCAGCGCTGCCCTACACGCCTCTCAACTGCACATTGAGAGCCCCTGGAGAGGGCTTGTGCAGAACAATCTCTGGGTCAGGAGGGAGGGAGACGCTCCGGTTTCCTAGCAACCCTCATCAATCTTCTCCGGATGGCTCTCTCTGAAGGAATGTGATTGGACAGCCCCTGGAGAGCAGTCACGCCCATTCAAGAATGCTGGGTTGCTGCTTTTTCTCATTCTCCTAAATTTCTTGGGTGGAATAAAATTCTCCGCAAGTGCTGAAATAGCTTCTTTCTTTCTTACCTCCCATACAACCACACTGCCCCCTTGCAGTTACCCCTTCGCGCATCTACCCCCCCCCCCCCCCCCACCATTGGACCTTCTGCCGTGCTGCTTTGGTTAGAGTCACTGTTTCCTACAGAATCTCTTCTTTCTTCCTCAAATTAAATAAATAAATAAATACCTTAAATCGGTGACGTAGGCACAAAAGGGAAAAAAGGCACACTGAAATAGCTTTCATAGGCTGCAAGCTACAGATAAAATCCTAAAGGTAAAATTTCAGGCATCCATTCTATATTTAGAAAGGCATCGGGTTTGCTTTCAAAATTGAAACTTCATTAATTTTTCCATTCTGATACTAACTTTGTATTATCAAAGGACTGAGTTGTATGAAGCCAGACATAATTAAACTTAATGTTTAAATGGTACATTTATTCTTTAACGTTTAATGTTAAGTTGCTTAACAACTATTGTCTTTTGTAACCTAACCTGAATATTTAAGCCACAGGAATCATTTACTAGAAATTCTTTTAGAGGATTAGTGATGCTTAAAAACCATACATGCTGAAATAGTTCATTGTGAACTCCACTAAATATAGAAATTTGGGCATATTAAAAATTAAAATGTTATTATAGAGTGAAATGCTTGAAGTACCCATTCTAAGACCTTCAATCTGAAATATAATAGCATTGTCCAATTCACTCTTGATATTTCTTTACTGCTAACTTATACTTGTTATTTATACTTATACTTGTTATTATACTTATACTTGTTATTTGTTACAGATATATTTGGCCTTTATAATAGAAGACTGAGCGATGTCTGCCAAAAGACAACTGAACCTCATGGAGTAATGCCATAAACAATGGAGAAGACAGATTAAACACACTGCAAGGGCTTCAGATACTCAGAAAGCCAGGGTGATAAATTTTGGTCTTTTTCAGTATATTCTAGAAGATGTCATTAAAAATTACTAAGACCTTATCAGAAGCAATGGAGATTAAGAGAAGTAAAAGACATCAAATACCTTCATCTCATTCAAAAAAGAAAAGGACCTGTTTTTGCACAAAAAAAAATAGTACTGATGTGTAGGCTGATCACAGCTCTGCCTGTATGCAGGCTGCTTACCACACTAATATTTGCAATGAGTAGAGGCTAAAATGTTGAAGCTAATTATTTATCTTCCATCAAGTCTGGTTTCATGGGGAACTTCTTGACTTCCCTTGTTATGCCATAGCCAAAAAAGCCATTCAGCTTGGTGACAGTGCGTTACTTGAATTTGAATCTTGAATTTTCAGCCTTCCTAACTGTAGCATTGTACAAAGTATTTAACTTATACCAGATCCATATATCATCATTATTAATCTCTGGCTTATAGTTAGCTGATGGTGCTTTAATTGTTGAGCATATAGTATATTTAATTGAAAGCAATTAGTGTTGAACTTCATTTTTTCCTTCATAATTTAAATTCATCACTGATAGGGAATATAACTTAAGTTTTAATGATTACTTATTGTTTAGCATGTTTTAAAAGCCCCAAATCCTAAGGCTAAATAATAACAGCTGACTAAATGACAAAGCAATTAAGAAATTACATTATCACTTACTATTCCCACCCTTTCCAACTATTCTGGCTGAGCTCCATTTCTAAATAATCCTAGTTACTTTTAATACAGTTCTATTGGTATAATATATTCATCAAATTGTTTTCAAGTTAAACATATTTGTTTGGCATTTAGAGCACTCTTTCTAGTGTAAATGGTTTATTTTTAAAACTTTACTAATCCACCTACATTTGATGATTAATGATTAATCACAATGCTTCTTCCTAGAATACTTTAGAGTGAGGACACTGACTTCTGGTGTAAGGCATTTTTAAGCCTGGCTCTCAAATTATACCATTTTTTAAATCTACAAATCAACAAACAACAAAAACAATTGATATACTTTCTACATTCCTATTTGGATCCATAGCTCACTATAATGAGCATTAACTCTAGAACAAATCTCTACTGTGTCAATCAAGAAATTATTTCATTGCTGATTTCTACTAGGAGTTACATGGATACATATTGTGACCATATATGGTAATAATACTTCTAGTTTTGACAGACTATTATCAGGTTGGATTTATCATCCCCATTTTATTTCTCAAAAGTACCAGCTTTGAGATTTACATCATGTGACTACCTGACCCTCTACTCATTTGTCCTGTGCCTCGGCTCCTTTACTTGTTTAATCTTCCCAGTGGCTGTTAAATTTCTTTGCATGGGAGAGAATGATGAAAGGGATAATATTGATCAAGATGCATGATATCTATAAACTGATCTGTTCAATTGAAACCCCTTCATACAACTATTTAAAGATAATTTAACAAAATTTAAAAAAATCTTTGTAGGACTCTATTTTTTTAAAGGACAGGACCAGTCAATCCTCGAAAAAATATAGAAGATCTTGTAAATATATTTATAAACATTTTTGTAAATATCTGATATGTACATAAAGCATTAAATTTTGCCTTTTATAAGTTTATAAGCATCCCCATTTATGTTTTATGTTTTCAACATTTTACAAAATTTTGCTTCCTCCTAGATCTTCCTTAAAATCTGATTTGAATTATTATTATGCAACCCCAAAATTAAAATATTAGCCTTGGTTTTGACTGAAACTCCAAGGGACGAGGTACCAGCTACTCCATATTCCTGACAAAGTTGTCAAACTCCTTCTTTGGGCTGTATTTGAGTGGAGAATCCTTAAACTGAACCTATGAAGTGGAGAAAGGTAGGAAATTGGAGGAGAGAGTTCTTACTGTACTCTAAACACATAGGTCCAAGCGATCATGAAAGTTACTGTGGCTACAGAGAAACCTTTGTTATATTTCCCTGGAATTTGGGCTTACGGTGACTACTTCTTTTTTTTTTTTTTTTTTAATGGTGACTGCTTCTTATTTCATGTTAGAGAAACATAAACTATTGCATCTAGACTTGCCTCTCAAAAGGTAGAAGGAAGAGAGGTTAAGTACATGAGAGGGAAAAAATGGTGAGTTTCTTAGGCCCTATGTGGGAGAGGGAGCATGGAAGAAGCGATGCTTATTCTTGGCTTTTTCCTAGACAGGCTTGGTGGATCCCACTACTGGACCCCACGAGACAGTTTGTACAGAGCACAGGGCTATGGAGATGGAACCTGTAGGTTGTGCTCTGCACAAAGGTGCTTGACTGAGAAGTGAGAAGGGGCTGCTTGTCTAGATTCTTTTGCAGGGGCTATATCAACCTGGTGAGAGGGCTCCCACCTCTACTTACTCAGTCTGGAGAGGGTCTCCTTTTAACTATTTACATAGAAGGTTATAGGACTGTGCTGAATGGCAAGTGGGTAGAGTAGTAAGTGGCCTATCATCAGAATGAGGTATGATTCTACCATGTGTGATCTCCAGATCTAGAGGTCTTGAAAGGCATGGCTAAATTGACATCACCAGAGGCAGCTTTGAATACCTGCTAAGTCCAGGGGAAAGCAATGCTAGAGTAGTACTGGATAATAAGACTTTCCTTGCTCATCCCCTTATACTTTGTGTCTCTGACCTCTTCAACTCAGAGGGATCAAAAGGAGAGGGAGGAGGGAAGGTGGGGAGGATAAGGATAGAAAGCTCATGAGCAGAGAGAAGAGCCTGTCAGGACCTATTGTAGAACGTCCTTCCTGCTGCCTTTCCAGACTAGGTGACCAGAGAAACACAGACTTCAGCTGATGTTGGAGTGTTGGTTATTACTGCTTAGGCTTTATTCTTCATGACTTTATTCTTTATTCTTCGTGCTTTTATTTTTGCATTAAAGTGAATGACAGAATTTTTATCTGGAAACTCTCTGAAAGTCAAGGTGCTGGACTTGACTTATGTCCCAGAGAATAGAAAAGAACATGCCCCTTAAGAAATATATATAGGGCAATATTATGTACAGCATATATAGTGGTTTTTTGTGGTACATTATGTTTTA